AGCTTCCCTTTTTATTTTTCTTTATCATTCTTGCGGGTGATATTGTTGCTGAGGGCAATTGAAAGCGAGGTATTTGTTTACGTTTGGGATGAGATCGCTCCATCCTTTATAATACATCCTTCTTAGTTGAAAGCGATGGCTTTTCGACGGATCCCTCTTTTCGGAAAAAAGGTATTCGGCAAATGCAAGCGACGTTTCGTAATAGTGGTAACGAGCTTTCCACTCATTGCGTATGTGATGTTCTTTCTGACTCCTCCTGAAAGACGAAAGTTGATTACTTTCGAATACGCACAATCTACGATTGCTGCACCAGAATGCCCTTGCAATTACACTGACAAACAAGCCAGGGCGATTGTCACATCGACGGCAAGAACAATTCCCTCTGCTGGAAGCGTCGCTCATGACCCATCATTGTCTCCAGGAAGGTTAAATGTACACGTATGGTCTGAGATATGTGGAACGAGAGTTGACAATTTACGAAATTCTCCTCATTTCCCTTACCTTCCTTGCAAGAGTTACTCCATCTCTGATTTTTATACAATTAAACCTCTAGACACCAGAAATAGCGCAGAAAGGATTTTTGGATTTGTCCATCCACGTTTAAGCGGCGAGTATAAGTTTGCCATCGTCTCAGATGGCACTTCAGAGTTGTGGCTGAGTAGAAATGAAGATCCCGCTTCAAGCCAGATGATCGCCCTCGTTTATTCTCCTCATGGATCGGCTTGGACTGAAGAACGAGACTTCAAGGAGTATCCTGGCCAAATTTCTAAAGAAATGTTTCTTTACGCTGGCAGCAAATATTACATCGAGACTTTGAGTAGACCTGGTTCCACAGTCATGCATCTGTCTGTATACTGGTCTTACGGCTCTTCCAGTTCATCATTTGAAATTATTTCCTCGCAATATTTGTCGAGTTTTGCTAAAAATAGTAATAGTGAAGCCATCCCCCCTCACGCGGGAAAACAACCAAAAAGTTCACTTCCAAGCAAGAGCAAATTGTATGATTTTAATCGTCTGCCATTTGTAAATAGACAAGATTACGGTGGCGTAATTCCAACTTGTCGTTACAGTCCAAGTTTTTTAGTGCGAAGAAAGCTTCGACAGTACGAGGGTGTCTGGTTACCAAAGCAGTCACTGATATTCCCAGACGATGACACAGACATGTTCAAAAGTGCCTCAAACCCGAACTGGTTCAAACCCAATACACATGTCGATAGAAACACGGTTGAATCTGTCGTGAACCAGCTCATGGTCTCTTTGCGGCCCAGGTAAGTTCATCAGCCCATTTTTAAGTTTCAATAATTGCATGGGGGCATCGAGCTGCAGACATTATCACTTGAAGATTGAGTTATACTGAAGAAAATTTCTTTAACTTACAAGATGTAGTGCTTTCTGAGGGCTAAAGTTTCTCTCCAGCGTTAGTTTAGATTCCTTTTTGTGCCTCTAATTTCAGGTATCATGGTAGGTGAATTCTATGAAAAATGCGAAAAATCTTTTTTTGCTGTTCAAATTGAGAAGACTGAGATAAAAATTTTGTAAAAGGAATGGGAAAAAAGCTATTTTACTTTGTAAGATAAAGAGAAAAAACTATTTTTGAACCTCATTAACCCCTTTCGGCGTATTGACAGCTCTAAATAAAATTCACCGCCAGTTGTCGCGTGTAAAGCGAACTGCGGTGTGATATTTCATTTGTGCACGCAAACTGTTCTCAACCTGGTTCTCTCATCGCAAGCATCAGGACGAAAACGCAGGAAAACTTCTTGAAGTTCGAAGAAACAAAATTTCACTGTGGGATATGAACTTTACTGACAGAAAACAACAGAAAAAGTTGAAGAAACTACTTGTGCAAAACGTTTTATATGCTGATCGAACGTGTCATAGTTACATGTGCTTGAAGAGAATGCTTTCTCGAATTATCGGAATGGGGATTGCCTAAACCCATTTGCGGTCAATATTTAATAAGAAAACGTGCTCAGAATTTGAGAATCGATTGGCGAACTTTTCTCACAATTACAGCAAAATACATAATAGCAATACGTCGGATTGAATGACCATCTTTGTCATAAGGGCGCCTAAGTTGGCTTCAGCTTCATTGACGCGTTTCAGACGAGTTTTGATTTAGAAACGGCTGTTAAAACAATTTAAGTTCCCGGTTGCCAAACAACTGAGGATGTGAAAAGAATCGTCAGAGACCAAGTTCAATTATCAGAAGACAGTTGCAAAGGACCGCTCATCTTTCTAATCGTTGCATAAAGTTTGTTTTTTAAAATGTTCAGCTATATCTGATTCTTTCAATTTGTCGGATATCACATGATTAACGTGACGCCACTGTTTTCGAAAAGCTTCGTTTTCAAATGGTTTCCGTCCACACCAAAACGAAAAGGCGGCGTTTTCAAATTTCCCCGGTTAAGAGCGTTTTCGAGAAGCTCTATTTTTGTGACGGATTAGTGTGGACGTCCGGTAGGGCTAACCGTAGAAATAAAGCTGCGTTTTCAAATTTCGCCAGCGTAGTGTGGACGCTTCCGTCTTCAATGAGAATAACACACTTAAAATTAATTGCCAGCACGTGTGTCCTGTGTTCATAAGATAGCCAAGGCTAACACTCTTAATAAAGGTTTTGAAATCAAACAGTAAAATTTATATTGTTAAAAATGTTTTTCGACAAGGAAGACATCTTTATCGATCAGAGTGTCACAATGATAGTATGGTCCAAAGCTTTCGGGATTTTTATGTCAACAGTTACACTCAAAGTAGCTATATCTCCGCAGGCGACAAACTTGACAAGACTGGCCATAATCTTAATGCAAGTTATTAATGCAAATGTGTCACTGCTATGGAGGTACAAACAAATTTAATTTAAAAGCGAGCTCGCGGATTCGGCCTAACTGCGAGCTAACAGTTCAAGTCTTAAATTGAATGC